TATATATATGTGGGGGGGTCTTTTTTAAATCAGTACATTTTTGCTGAAATAAGCTAAGAATTTTCACTTCCCTTGTTTCTAAGAAACATATTTGAAGACAAGTAATGCAATTATGCAGTCAAAAATTATTTAATAACGAAAGGTCAGAAATGTTTTACATTATTTTTTCAAGAATTACGAATTCTTAAGAAATTAGATATTATGGATTAATTTTTATTAAAATCCTTACGAAGTTTGTTTCATTAAAATATAGATTTTATGTGCTTCTGGTCTGTATTAATTATGTAAAAGGTATGTCTGTATTATGTAATGTAACCAGTATTAAAAAGTGAAGTGACTAAGTGATGAAATTTTTGAATAAGAAAGGAATTTTCACTTTATAAATATTAATATTTTTAAACACACCCAAATTAGACTGACGCAAAAGGAATCTCGAGCACACAATTTGGTGTTCCTTGACGACGATCACGCATCTCAACAAGTTTTCAAACAGATATAGCAAGAAAGGGAAGGGTCTACTTTCTCCATGCAAGCGATTGCCAGTAATATAAATTTTTGCATTACACAAACGCATTTTGTTACAAGAGTATTATATGATAAACATTATTCTCCTAAAATAATAAATTAGATACATTTCCATAATTATTGTTTTTTTTCGTTTTGAATTGAAAAATAACTGTAGATCGTATGTCTCCCAATTATGATCAGAATACCACAAACGCGTAGCGGCTCCAATTAAATATCATAATCCAAAGAGTATATTTAGGGATAAAGAGGTAATTGAAAGGTCTCTGCTGGTTTCGAATAAACCTTCCACACAATTTAAGCTCTCCAACTACTTTGCATCGCACTACATTACACAGCGCTCGAACCTTTGCCCCAACCAGAGGGAACAAACTTTCCCACGAATCCTTTTCATTCCCAAAACAAGTCAAACGAATAATTTCAGGTCAGTTTTAAGTCGTTACAACGGCGCGACCGCGGCGCCGAACGCAATCGCGTCCGCAGGCGACTGCGCCGCGCCGCGCCGCGCCGCGCCGCGCCGCACAATAGCTCACCTGCGCAACAAAGCTTTCCGGGCGGAGGAAAGTTGAAGTTGCGAGGCAGCCCTCGACGCGCCGGCCGCAAAACGGGCATCGTAACTCAATTCCGCCACAACGTTTGCTGTTTGCGAAGCCACTGCGGGCGCTCGGAGGGGGCGTGGCCACTCGAGCGGTGGGGGTGGGGGTGGGGGAAGGGACGAAGGCGCAAAGCACAATTAACATGTAGTCAAGTTGGAGGGCCGCGCGCGCAGTTGCCGAGTGGAGTGGGAGTGGTGTGGGGGTGGTCGAAATCAAAAGGGCAACGGGGTGGAGAGGGATGTACGAGCTGATTTCCTTCGTCGCCAGTCCACGAGTTGTCTTTCACAGGCACAGATGACAGAGGAAGAGATTTGTAACACCAATTTATCAACACATACTTAGAAGCACACACACGATCACTTTCCTGGATTAATCTTAAGGGATGGAATTAGTTGGGAATTGGATTCAAGATATTTCAGTGTGTTTTTGTTGCTCGCTAGTGATAGAAAATCTAGCAATTTTGAATCCCGTCTTACATCCTTCTTTTATAGGTTATTTTATGTACCCATTTTAACAAAAATCCAGTACTTTTCTTGTCACGGCTTACACACTTCTGGCTTTACCAAGTTTTTCACACAGCTTATTTTATGAATTGATGTACGGGATGTAGTTTTTACATCCTGCACTCACAAAAATGTTTCACGCTGAAGTTCCCATGCACAACCAAATTCAAGGTACATTTATATATTTATTGAGATTGTTTATATACTTATTTATGTAACTATTTACTTGTTAATCAACTTATTCATCTATTTACTATTTTATATATGCATTTACATTTTGTACATTTATATCATCCTGAAATAGTTTGCCAGGTAGAAGTTTCCCTTAGAAACCACGACTATGGAGATTATACGAAATGAAAGAATTCATATCTGCATGTCAGGTTTCTTTACCATGATCGTATAGTTTCACACTTTACAGGTAAACCTTCCCTCCATCTACGTATATATGTATGATACTAGAAACATAGAGGTAAGGGTATTACTATAATAATAATAATAATAATAATAATAATAATAATAATAATAATAATAATAATAATAATAAACTTATTATTATTATTACTATTATTATTATTATTATTATTACTCTTATTAGTATTAACGTGGTTAACCTTAAACGTTTTGAAATACATATAGGGATTACCATGACGTTTATAGTTGTTCTTACAGTATTTTCACTATGAGGCAGGATAAGAGACGAAATAGTCGAAAGAATTGTAATTCCACATTTAGCCTACGTACAGCTCCAGCTTTTAATTTCGGAGCGAACCGTACAATAGTCAATGTTTAAACGTAAATTGGAAAACGTTGTACTACTGAATTATGAAATCACACTGCACGAAATGCAATCGTGCATTTGTTCCGCGTGTGACATTTTCAAATGTATTCTGAAACATTCCAAGAACACACACCAATAAAGTCACAGCAATATATTTCATTATTGTTTCAAATCAAAATAATTTCTCAGACTGATAGCTTAGTAGCATTTGGAAATTGCTCGGAAATAATTGTTGCTAATTTCAAATGTAACTTTTCACCGAGAGGAATTCACGGAAAACTTCATTTACCTTACCAAACAAAATTTATCGATTAACAATACACCTAATTATCACAATTTTGCTCACGTGTTTTACATTTACGAGTGAAAAACAGTAAAACACCAGGCGTTCCCGTTAATTATTGCACATTAGCTCTCAAAATGTAACTTCGTTAAGAGTAATATTATTTATTATATTTTTAAACAAAAGAAGGTTCTAATAACCTAGTGGGAATTAAAATATAACGCGTTAATAAATGATTATAAAACTAAGCAGTATTTCGTAGCTCAGTCATTTAGTGACAATAATATTCGTTAAGATAATCAAGACAGTCTTCTCCTCAAGCACAGAAGGTTCATGATTAAAGCTTTAAGTACCGGGGCTTACGACCTGGATAACCATTATTAGCATCCACAGCATGTTCAACAAATTGCTTCTTCATGATTTCATTAATTTGCGGGAACTTCTCCAAGCTAATGAACTAGCAGGATACTTAATTTTTTGTAATTATCTTTCATTAACCTAGACAGATTAAAACTTATGTGAATTGAAAGACCTAAGTATCTGATATGACGTTATTCGTTAATTATGTTGTATTTTTAAACTTATTTATATTCTGAATGAATTTACAAAGTTCAGTTGACGTTCAACTTTATATTTATAGTTACAAGTTTACTATCTAACTTAATCCAATTTAGAACTAGCAATGAACTTCATCTGACGAAGGGACTCACAGATCATGTCAATTAGCTTGTTCTATGTTGGTAAATAAGTTCAAGAATGCATGTAAAGGATATCTACTTTTTATTCGAGTTTGGCGTTCTGTATCCAGTTGGAACGTTATCCAGTTGGAAATTTTTGCTTTGATTAATTAAATTCAGGTTTGAGAAGATGTTATTGGCGAGATAGGCTATATGGTAAGTGTTTGCATTGATGTTTAATTCGGCGAGTAGTAACTTGTTGGAGATGGGCTTGGGTGATGGATCTTAAGAACTTTTGGGGGTGATTTGTAATTTGTGCATATAATATTTGGCACTTTTGTCATATGGGCGTGTAGAAGGTGATAGTTTTATTTAAGAGCGATTTCAGTTGTAGAATTTTGATTAACACACAGAATAATATTGTTATTTATTCCAATTGTATGGAAAGCATTACGCATTATTCTTCCTCACTAGAAGATTAGAAGATACAATTTGATCAGTGAAGGCTCTTCTGGGTGTCGAATTGTGCCACCAAACACGCCATCACATCACTTAAATACCAATGAGGAGGGAGCAGGTACTCACATCGACGTGTATCCCGGGGTAGGCGAAGATCTTGGTGGCGGGGTCTTCGCTGGGGGAGTAGCGGTAGAACTCGTGGCGGCCGCGGTACCACTTGACGGAGTAGAGCGGCTCATTCTCCAGGTCGTACTGGCAGAGGAGCGACGCGTGGTCGCCGCGCTGCACGGCCGGCGGGATCACGCGCAGACTCACGTTGCGCAGCCCGCGCGCCTCTGCAACACACGCGGCGCACCCATCAATAGTACAGGGCAATAGTATTAACAATTCATAGGACAAACAATAGTTGCAAAACGGGGTATCAGAATGTTCTTCTCCAAATACATTCTAATGATTAAAGAATAATAATGCCGAGAGGGACATCATCCACGTGGTCCAAACACCCACATAAAAACATACTAATACATCATCATTATCATCATCATTATTATTATTGTAATTGTTATTGTTATTATTATTATTATTATTATTATTATTATTATTATTATTGCGAATAAGACCAATTGAGACAACGCAAAATGGTGCTCAGAAGTGTTTTTTAACTTTTCCTTCTGCCCATACTTCTTTCATAGTTTAACTGGGCGCCTTTTTCTCTCTTATTATTCTCCCTTTTTCCACTTATTATTATTACAATTATTATTGCTAATATTATTGTTATTATCGTTGTTATTATTATTGTACCTCTAATTCACGACTAAAAATGATACGGGTCGATTGATTATTAAGTCTTCTCTAAGTTGCAATCAGCTTCCTACGGAGCAGATACATCGTAGTGTCCTTTACGTCGATTACACTCAGCACCATCAATACGCATTAGAGTTCTGGCCCAATGATTACACGTTACCCAAATCTGAATGTTCATCTTATTTTTCAAAAGAGCCTATTTTCGAGAAATTTCAAATTAATTTTTGTAGAAAATACCCGTAGCAAAATCCAAAGACGCTCTTTCCAGTATCACTTTTTTTATATTTAGCGACACATTTTGATGAAAAAAGTATTACGTTTTGAATCATAAGAAGTTTTTTGTAGTGTACGTTTATTATTCTTAGTAAATAATAGTAATTGAAATTAGTATGTCTTGTAAACATTAATGCTCACTGAAAATTTGCAAAAACGTTAGAGGTAATATAAATATTTATTTCAGCTCACGATCATTGGTGGTAAATAATACTTGCTTGCCATTTGCACACTATTTTGGAAAACTTCTGTAATGCCGAAAGTAAGTAGAACACGTTATGTGTGTTTTTCAAAGTAGTACGTAAATGCAATTTTCTTTACTTTGCAATTGCACATTTCCCTTTCAATTAGTGAGTTTAAAGTTTTTATCCTTCCTTAAAAACGAAAATAAGCAAACAAACCATACCACATCACTATGAACGTTTAAAAATACTTTATTTCCTTTGCAAGGTTGCAAAGACTTTTTTCTTACTTTACGTCTAAAGATAACTCACGAAATACCAAAAAAAAGTCTGAAAGAAAGGTCGCTATTAAACTTTTACACTCTACTGAACCGACAATGTTTGTGCTGATAATGAGAAGTAATCTTTTCAACGGAACTCTTCTCAGACGTCTGGCTGTAATTAAAAAGAGTTAATTAAGGTCCGGGCTCTGCGCCGATCTTCCTACGCAGGTGGTATTTATTTGCGACGGTCCTTGGTCCGCGGAGAAGGAAGGCGAGTTAGTTGCTCGCTGCGCACACATTAATCCCCAAACAATCTGGCCAAGCGTGAGTCTGTTGAGTTTCGCACTCCAGGGTAACTTAGCGCGCGTAAACACGCACTGCGTGGTCGGTCGCCCGGAGTGCAAGCGCAGGGAATTAAAATGCGCAGATTGCGGAGGCGCGGAAGGCGTGCACCTGAGGTCGCCGAGAGCGACGCAAAGTTTCACAGGGAACCGTTAAAACCTTGGTTGCTACAGTGGAGTTGATCTTTGGATCGGCGATTTACAGTTGAGACTTTGCAGGGCGATTTTCACACTGCTTTGCAGTTTCCGGTGTAGTTTAATGCTAACTCAGTATATTTCAACATAATTAAAGGTTTGACGATAAGATTTATTTGCCTTTGTGGTCTTTCAATTAGCGCGATTGTATTTCACAGAATCTATGGTATTGTATCACATTAATACAAGGCTTGTTAATATCGAGAAATATTACTAGCATATTAAAAGTTCAATTTTTTATACTAATGATGATAATATCTCTCGGCACGTGGAAGCAAGAGCATAATTATTATTTGCATACCACATGGATAGAAAAACAAAAACAATCGTCCCCCTTTGTAATATGAATTAGTAAACTATTTTTGCCATTGTTAGATTTCATTACAGCACCTGGAAAAAAAATCAGAAGTTTTCATTAGAGAGAACTCAATAATAGCGATCAATATCTGGTAGTTATATCCTTCACAAGGCGTCTTTTTAAACAAATGCCGCTATTATAAAAGCGGCGCCTAAAATGTGAGAATATTGGACAGAATTACACACAACATTTATACAAAATGCCCTGCATTATCGCAACATCCATGTTATTAAAATAAATTTGCAACGATTATTGAGAGGAAACACTCTCACAAAATATGCTGATACTTCATATAAAATATATAATCTCAAAGTGCTCTAATGTACGGCATTAACATTTTAATAATACACCCGTGTGGCCCCCCGGCAATGAAAACTCAAAATTCATTCAATATTTCTTCTTGATAAACGCATATTGTAAAAACAAATTGAGGTCGTGCTATTTTTCGTACAGAACAGCGTTTTAAAAATATTGCACATTTATGTCTGCTTTCACACGCAGCCCGCGAAAGAAAAAAGAGAGAAACAGCCGATCATAAAACACTCCCCCCGAAATTCACTTCGCCGGCCGACTGCCTGTGACGCAGCGCAGCTATCGCGGGAACTGCACGGCGCCTGAGGCGCGGCGGAGGCTCCGTACACAAAACACCAGAGCAGCGCTCCCTCGCGTTGCCGCGCGTGTGAAACAAATACCAAAGGGTATTGTAAAACGGCTACCAGAGGTTTGCGTAAATCGCACACGACCGAATACGTCGTCAGCAATATTACCCAAATGGCGGATTCATTTTCTTTGTATTATTAGATTGACTGCTCCATGTTTCCGGGAACTTCGACTGCTACGGTGATTTTTCCCTTTAGTTAGTGAATGTTTTCTTGCCGGAAGGAGGATGTTTCCCACTGAATATAAACATCCGGTTCCGACCTACAGGTCGGCTTGAGGGTGTCTCTCCCACCTCTAGGTATTTCCCCATGATGGGGTGCCACTCCAGCGTGGATAACATCTGGTCTTCTGGCATGTGTGTAATGTACTACCTAGTATGCGTGTGTATGGGGAGAGGACAGAACAAGGAAGACGACTGTGGTGGCTGTGGTGGCTTTGGAGAAGTAGTGTGTTGCTTAATTATTTAGTCGAGTTAGATAAACACTACCGATTTTATGATTCTTGGATCAACGATGACTTCACACGGATGTAGCTGAGCGAAAGGAAATGCGAGGGGCTAGATAGCACACACAAAAACTCACTTGAATTTGAGGAAGGGATAACAAATCATTAAATTCGGTACCCGCATTCCGGGAGGCTGGGATTCCGTAACTTTTGGTAGCGTTTGTAAAGCTCCTAGACCCTGTTTCAATGAAAATGAGTTCTAGTAGATTTACTACATTTAATTTAAATCTCCAGGCATACGTAAACGTGAAGTATACGTTTACTTGTATTACATGTTGAATAATAATACTTTATTACCTTTCTGCCCAAATCGTCCGCCTCGGCGGGCTTTTGCTTAGTGTAATGTTAATTCTACTGAAAGACATTTCTGCCTCACAAAAAGTCTCAGTGAATGGAAGAACATTTCGCCCGCGTGCATCGTCTCCCGGAGCCGCTGCCCGCGCGACGCTTCATTAATCCGGGGACGCGCGCGCCCCCCGCGCACGCCGGCGGCTGGCCGCGACGCGCGCTGCGCCTGGCAGGTAAAAACGGAGCACTTCGCGTTTCCGGCGTAATTGCGACATTAACGAATTTCAGCAGCGCTGCCGCGGAGCCCGAGGACGCGCGCGCCGCGCCGCCGATTCAGCGAGAAATGGAGGCGCTAAGGGCGCTCCTGGCGCGGAGGACGGGAACGAGACGAACTGAGAGAGGGAGAAGAAAGAGGAGGAAAGGAGAAGGAGGAAGAGGAACAGGAATAGAAGGGGGGGACGGATAGTGTGGACTCTTCGCCGTCACTTCACCATGGTCGCCCATCTCGCAGCGAAACAGATCCTCGAGTTCGAAGACACTGGCATTAACCACACGATCTCTACATACCTTTCGTTGCTTCTTGACTTCATAATTTCCGTGTAAAATATCTTACTACAGTACTATTTAGTGTATTTATGATCCACCGAGAAATGATGATTCTGTGAGCGTAGGAGAGAATAAGAAGGAAGAGGAGAATGAAAAGCGAACGAAGAAGAAAGAGGTGACAGATGGTGTGGATTTCTCGCCTCACTTTGTCACGGTCGTTGGCGAGTGCTGGTGTCGCAATGGAGCAGATTGCCATTTAGAAAACACTGCCGTCAGCCACATAACAGCCACTGGTCACGTGGTTTTCATTCCGCCTTCAACTCGTGCTTTCGCCTGTGGAATAGCCACCGCAACTGATAAGTATAAAGCGGAAAAGGAATAAAACAGACTTTTTGCGAGATACAAATTAGTATTTACTTTCTTCTTCAATATACGAGTTTACTAAACAAATATTTATTCGCTCACTGATTATTATTCTTATTATCATTATTACTAATACTATTACCGCCGTATTTTTTAATATTCTCTGCGATTCCTTTTTATTTCTTAATGTTAACCCATTACTCGATTCATCAGTGACTCAATTATGTACCTACATTTCTATATCACAGCATATCCACCACCTTCACTGCAACTCAGTAACAAAAATTGACCGCCCAAAATACCAAGCAAGATTAAATTCACGAAAGGGCTTCTTGTGGTCATCCGAGTATCGTTTTGGATTTCTTTCCACTGATAACTTCAAATAAACAAACACTTCGTTTCAGCTCTGCAAGTCGCAACATCTCGCACCTGAGTCTTGTTTTCTCTGCCCTCGCGCCTCAGGTGGTCGTCTCGCGTCGCGCGCGGCTCCTCTTCAAAACTAACGGCAAATTCACAGAGGAAATGCATCCGAAGACCTCCCCCTGATGGAAAATATTT